ATATAGTATGCATGTTTAGATTTAAATAAAATATACATATATATATATATATATATATATATATATATATAAATAATTAAAATATGTGCTAGGTAAGATGGTAAGTTATGCCTTTAACATAGGAAAGATCATGGATGGGGTCAAATCTCATTAGTATTTTCATTTTTATGCTATTTAGAATATAAAATGTGCAAGCCTTCTTTTATATTATGTTTCATATTTTGTTATGAATATTTTTTTAAATAAAGTTTTAGTTTTTCACTCATATCAAACAATATTTATTGCTATACTCAGCTCCTAAGACCTACTTATAGGGAGTCAAAATTTGAACTATATGACTAACAAATCAACTGTCTGACTAACTTGGTCGGAATGGTCAGAGTTGCTCCAATTGGCTTATTTCCTGATCTATAATGTGTGGGTGTGCAATTTTTGGGTTAAATTTTCTTACAAATTAAACTAAGAAAAAACTCTTTATCATATAACTGTCGGAAATTATGGAATTTCCGACCACCTGAAAGTGATATTACATCAAGTCGAAAGCAAAAAGTGGTCGGAAATAACAACAAAGGTTTTTCCAAATACCAAAAGTGGTCGGAACAAGACTTTTAACTTGATTTAATATCACTTTCAGGTGGTCGGAAATTCTATAATTTTCAGAAGTGTACAGCTGCCAACTTGGGTTGCTCTGAGCCTTTGATGGATGATGTTTTGACTCTTTAGAGACATATAGCTTGTTTTGTGAAGTATTAGAAAGGAATTGACAAGGAAGTTGGGAAAACAAATCAAAAACTATTGAGGTCAAGACTAGAGAGTCTTCTCCGTATAATCCCAGGACACATGTTAGCTAGACCACCTGAAAGAGTATAAGATGATCGGTACCTTACCCTCTAACGAGGTCGAGGTCGGGTTGATAAAGAGGCGAGTCCTCACCTACGGACCTACACGCTCCAAGGAGAAATGATATATAAAAGATCGTACAACGAAATCTTGCTACGATGCCTATATCCCGATGAGACGAGGTCGGCCATAGATGCCGATACTGAGATACACAAAGGAGTTGACTCGGCACATCAACTCATCAAGGGGCCTATAGCATGGCCCATAGGGCAATCATGCATGGTTATCTTTGGCCGAACATGGCCAAGAAGTGCGTTGATTATGCACGAGGTTGTTCGACTTGCCAAGAATTTCAGATCGGCCTGGGCCGACCAGCCACCAACTACACCCCCATTAACCGGCCATCCTATTCTCAAGATGAGGGGTTGACAATTAACATAGTTGGGGCCTTATCCATGGGGTCGAGAAAAAGAAAGTAATGTACTTGATTATAGCAATATACTACCTTACAAAGTGTGTAGAGGCGCAACCGCTAACACGTATATTATATGGGGGCCGGGCTAGAAGCAAACAATTTGTGTACAAAAATATTCTATGTCGGACTCAGCCCTCCAAGCTTGTTGCAAAGGTGAAACTTTATTATTACTATTTTTTGAAGTAACTTTATTTCTTTTTTGCTTACATAATAATCAACATCATATTTCAATGTTAAAATGTTGAGCTCAGTCCTCCAAGCTTCTGCTCAATATTTGCATTTTAGAGGTTTCCGCCTAGGGCAACCATCAAACCAGTAATCCCACCCCTCTCTAGTATTACTCACAAAAATTTCTAACCATTTCACCAATTGAACTAGTCTTTTTAAAATGAGTTCGACCTTTAGGTTAAGCATTTTGACAATTGAAGGGTGTTCTCCATTTATCTATTTCATCTACCCATATACGGAGACACGGAGTATATAATAAGTGTAAGTCTTGTGTGAGATAGATAATACTTTTCTATGAATCTATAACGCGTATTATATTTTAACTATAAATATTACCCATCAAAACTTACTCTTACAATAGTTGTACACATAGGGAGCGTTTGGTTCACAGAATGTCAAATTATCTTAAGGAATGTTATATTGTTACGAATGTTAGATTTCTGTATTTGGTGAAATATGTAAATAAAGCCACGGTAATAAGACAAATTGATTAAAATGTCAAAAGTCCAAAATTACTAATAAGATCAGAGAATGTGAGATCAGATTACCTAAGAAATTATAGGGTATCTCACATTCCCTTCCAATAGTAAAAACTTCATCCAGATATTATGTTACATCCCATGAGAAAATTACATAAACTGAACAAAACATAAAAATCTTATATTCCTAAACAAATATAATCTTAGTTATCTTATATAACTTGAACCAAACACCCCTTACAACCATCATGAATAAATTCGTTCTAAATTCTAACAATAAACCCGTAGCCTACATTCATGGATTGTGCAGGAGAGCATCGCGAGATTAATTAAATACAGACCAATCAACGGCTGTTCTTCCCCATAATTTGTAGCTGCAAATCAAAACAACAATTTAGTTACACAGCTAGATGAAATAAGTAAGCTCTAAATATTAAATACATATATATTGAATATATATATTTACCCTTACCGTTTCTTCTTAATAGGTCGAAATATATACAACAACGTGTGTATGTATTCTCTCCGAATTGATTGTTTCACCATTATTTATAACCAAAATGGCAAGAGGTTGTGATATATTTCGGCAAAATGGAAAGGGGTTATATTTATAGCCAAAATATGAAGAGGTTGCAATATTTATAGGCGAAAGATATGGGTGATGATGGATAATCACTATGACTATGAACATTAACACGCAAGTCTCACTTGCGTTCAACTTTTGGTACTTTCACGAGACCCATTGATGGGTCTAGTCAATCAGGAGACAGCCTTCTCGTCTTGCGAGCTGACAGCCCATGTGGGTTGTGTCGGCTAACATTTGTATAGTGTGTGATTTTGTTTTAAATATGAAAATTAAAATAAATAAATTGTTCAAATTGAGATGTTTTTTGGTTAATATTTAGTATTTTAGTATTAATTATTAAATAATTAAATAGTTTATAATGATTGAGTCTTAAAATTTTTTAAATAATTTATTTTAATCACGAAAAAATAAAATGTGAAAATAGCGATGGACAATTTTCGTTGCTAATTTAGCGATGAAATAGCGACAAATTAGTAACAGATTTTAATTTTCTTGTTAAATAAATATTTAGCGACGGAGTATTTTCATCGTTAATTACGTAACTAATTTTAGCGATCAATTACATTATTCTGTTTTAACTTTTAAGATCAAAATGACTTTGTTTTAGAATGTAGTTCACACAAGTGTATGGACCGTACCGTTAGTGCCTCACCATCAAGAATTTGATCCTATGACCTCTCTCAAAGAGAGAGACAAACATTAGGGTTCGAACCTAAGAGCTATGCGGCTCGAGCAAAAAGTGTTTTGCACACGTCAAAACTTATTCTTACAGTAGTTGTACACTTAGGACCATCCTGAGTAAATTCGATCTATCTACCCATATATACAATTGTGCATCTATTAAAAACCTGACAACTTGCCATTACCTCACTCGTATTTATGATGACAGAAATTTCAGCAAACAGGCCTATTTTTCCGGCAAATTATGATGTGCATCCGTATGCACCATGCATGGTGTATACGGATGCAAAAACGACGTCGTTTTATTAAAAACGCGTGTCTCACTTAAAAAAAAAAAATTCAGTTTCGATTCTCAGCAACAACATATGAACTAAAATTCCAGAATCGATGAACTAAAATTTCATAATCTATGAATTAAAATTCCAGAATCTATGAACTAAAATTCTATAATCTAATCTATGAACTAAAAATTTCAAAATGAGTGAACTAAAATTCCAAAATCGATGAACTAAAATTCCAGAATCGATGAACTAAAATTCCAGAATCAATGAACTAAAATTTCAGAATCTTTGAACTAAAATTCCAGAATGAATGAACAACATAATGCTGTTGAGGGAAATCGAACTTGATTTTTTTTTTTAAAATGGGATGCGCGTTTTTAATAAAACGACGTTGTTTTTGCATCCGTATGCACCATGCATGGTGCATACGGATGGTGCATACGGATGCACAGCATAACTATCCCATTTTTCCAATCCTCTTAAATGGACATTTTTAGAGTTGTTGTGCACTTGTGCTTGTAGAGTTGTAGTGTTGAATTTTCAAAGTAGATAAACAAATAGCTCACCCTCAAAAAAGTAAAGGGCTTGTTTGGTTAATGACGGATCCGCTAAATTTTGACGAATTTGCCATTTTCAGCGTTTTGACTAAGTCAAAACACTGAAAATATTGTTTGGCAAATGGCAGTTTGGAGCAGCGGATTTGCTCCAAACCACCAAGTTCCAATACGCTGCTATTAGCAGCGTGTTGTTATGGCGTTTTGGGGAAAGAAAAGTCTTTCCCCAAAACGCCCCCAAAGTTTTTCGCCCCTAGGACTCTATATTCGACCCAATATGATTATGGAAGATTTTTTTTTTTTTTTTTTGAAAACAAATATGATTATGGAAGATAAATTACGACAATTCAATGGTCTTTTAATTTGGAGAATTAAAGCGATAAACAAATAATTAGTGGGAAGAATTTGTCTCATTCATTCAAGGGAGGTTGGAGCAATCCCATCAAGGCTTTGTTTGAAATATTTATTCACACATGGAGGAGAGAGGGTATGAATTAGAGGAGATAGGAGGGAGGAATGATACTACATGTACTCTCACTTTCTACTCTATTTTATACTCCCTGCTGAAGTGTCGTTATTTGATTGGTTTAAATAACAAAGTGGACCATTGTTTTTCTTCATTCACTTAAATACCAAAACCGGCCTATTGCATGATGTGGCCATCACCATACAATAGTCTATACAAAGTCCACTTCCAACAATGCAAAAATCAAGTCAATACATAAAGTCACTTCCTAATTGCAATAAAAACATTCTAGCATCCTAACAAGTAAATCTAATCCTAATTCCCTAAGAATTAGCTAGACATTGTCACAATTGAATAGCTAAGATGAAGAATCAATGGAAGCATTTGAAATGAATAGTAAATTACAATTTAAATGAATACTTAGCTTTGAAAACACAATCTTCAATCTCCAAGAAAATCTTCAATCAATTGTAGTTGAAATCCCCCTAAGAATTCTTAGATCAAGGTGTCAAATTATTCTAAGAATCCTCATGAGGATTCTCTCTCTAAAATCTAAAGTACAAGATTGAAAAAACTGTAAAAAACTATCTCCTAACAAATAAGAGCAAAGCCTTATTTATAGCTGCAGATTTTCCTTCAGCCGCACTCAGCTCACCACTCAGTAGTGCCCGAGTGTCACGCAGGCCACCACATGGTAATGGCCTGCATGACGAGGCAAAACTAGCGCGTAGAAGTTCATGTCACGACCTCTTTTACTGCGTGATGTGCTGCGTGGCTAGCAGATCAAGCTCGCAGAAGTTTGTGTCACGAGGTCGGTCACGTGGTACTGGTAATGCGTCGGGTGATGATCCAATCCCACATTCTTCCTATTTTGGCTCATCCCTTGATCATTTTGTCCTTGTTTTGGTCCTTTGTACCTAACAAATACAAAAGTGTCTCAACATTAGCACTTCAACTCAATTTATAGCAATTAGGCCATTCTAAGGACAAAAATTAAAGCACAAAACTCCTCCAAAACACCCCAAAAACATAGTGTATTTGGCGATTATCAAAATATCTTTCCAATGCCATTAGAATCACTTGATTTGGACATTCCTACGATGGGATATGTTTAAAATAATGAGACATCTCCAAATAGAGAAAAATGCAGAGCAAAATGAAGTAACGCTGACACTCACGGCCCGAGTGTTAGCGTGAGCCCTGATCTTTTGTTCCTTTGGGTCTCGGGTTATGTCATGATACTTCCAACTTGGTCTTTTTCACTTTCTTGATCTCTCATGACTCCCCAGAACACGCCTTTGATGCCAAGATGACTTCAAAACACATCCAATTGAGCTCCAATTTACACGATGTTACAATAGATGCCTCCAAATCACCTAAATGACACAAAGGAATCAAATAATTAAGCATATACTTAGCTTCCAATTAACATGAAATCATATGAATTTGATTGTGTACATAAAAGTAGTAAGAGTTAATGCTTGTCAAAGAGCTTTCATTTTTCACCCTTTTTCTGGAATGAAATGTTAGCTGTTTATAGATTTTTTTTCTTTTCTTTTCTAGACAAAAATTTATTGTTTATAGATTGAGACCAAGACTCCGTGCAAAGATACAAGTTATGTCACTATCTCATTGTGGATTACCCCTTTGTTGGGGAAAGTATTATACACGTTGAACTCGAGAGCGACAGATCAGTGACGTTTATGATTTCATATGTACAATGAGAAATTGTGTATGTGTAAACATTCAACAACATTAAATATCAGTTTTCAAAAAAAAAAAAAAAAAAAACATTAAATATCACTTACTGCAACACACATGCAATGGAGTTGCCCGCCCTAGCACGCATGGCAACAATTACCTAATGATTCTGTTTAGTTGGATATGATGCATAGTAGTATTGCAAGAGAGCCTTAGTATAAATAATATGGAGTTTTTTTTTTTTTTTTTTTTTTTTTTTTTCTTTTTCTTTTGAAAGGAAAAGATTTCATTAATCAATGGAAATTAACTATTCAATACAAAAAGGAATAGAAGAAAATTAAATAGAGTAACTAGACTGGGAACTAACGGCTCTAGCAGCTAAGGCATGAGCAAGCTTATTCGCTATTCGAAATCCAAATATAAATACGGAGTAAGTTTTTATATTGTACCCAAATATAATTTCCACTATTCATATTATTATTATTATGCTATTTTAGTTATTAATAATTGTACTTGATGATCAACTAAGCACATAAGTATATAATATTTAATAGTCATATACATATGCATTATTTGAGTGATAAAAATTTATTCGACCTTTTTATGTACTTACCATAGCACATTGCGTGAACTAAATGTTGGAAAATTAGCTTAAAAATGACATAAAATGGCATTATAAGTGGCTACCTTGTGGTACAATTATCAGTGGGGTCCACTTCCGATTTGGGTCGGGTCAAAGTGGATTCGTGTTCTTCGTAGTGAGACGAAGAGATTGATATATTGTACGCTCAAAACGGATAATGGGTGAATGAGATATTGATTCTCAAAGTAGACCCATTTGAATTGGGAAATGAAGGGAAAATGTAGGACTTTGTCCCACATTGGTTTGGAAACAAGATTTGCCCCCCTTATATACATGAGCTCATTTCAAGCTTGTAGAATTGTATAGCATAGAGGCTCTCTCGCGGGTGCAAATCAAAATCCAACTAGAAGAGCTCAAAAGGCTTGAATCAAGCCTGAGCTCGCGTGCGCCGGCACCTGCGGGCACGAATGTCGTTCGGAAATTGGCTGGCCGTGCGGGTTAGGTTATGCCAAACTTCGGTATCATTTTCCATCTGTTATAGTCACTTGGTTCGGCCACAACCGAACCGAGAGCACCTACTCTCGTGTGTAGCATGAGAGGTTGTGGTGCACGGAGAGCTGTACTACTCTCGTGTGTAGCATGAGAGGTTGTGGTGCACGGAGAGTGAGAAAAACGAAGGAATTCCAGTATAGTTTTCAGCTTCAAAACTTCTTCTTCTACTCTCTTCTTTCCCTAGCTGTGTTCCAGCTTTGTTTTGTTCACCGGGCTCTTTGTTTAGGTGCTTAAACAAAGAGTCGTAGCACGTTTTATCCTGGGAAACCTAGGCTACAACGCTCCTAGCACTTGTGGGAGGTAGCAAATAAGGTTTTAAGGAAAACAACCTTGTGTTCGAACTCGTGCTAAAGCCTTCACCCAAACACTCAACTCTTTTCCTTCCCGGTTTTCTGTTTTCCCTAAGTTATAATAATTTTCTGTAGAATTATTATATTTGGGGATTTTTCACCTTTTTACCCAACAATCTTAAAACCTTATTTACGTTTCCCGTTGGTTGTGTGTCTCTAATTTCCTAAGAGAAATGGAGAATCCAGTTTTGTCAGCTCTCGGGGAGGAGAATGTTGTTGAGAACAACAATGGTGGGAATGGCAATAATGTTGCTAATTCCCAAGCTACACCAGTGAACGTTGGTTCACAAGATGGTGGGAGCACCGAGGGATATATTCCCATGACTCGGGTACCTACGGTACCGAGTGGTTCGGCCGAAAGACCGGAGAAATTCATCGGTATTGGATCGAATTTCAAGAGGTGGCAGCAAAAGATGCTGTTTTACCTGGCAACTCTCGGCTTGGCGAGATTTTTGACCGAGAAGGTTCCCGAACTAAGGGAACAGGATGCCCAATCCGTGATGGCAGTTGGCTATTGGAAGGATTCGGACTTCCTATGCCGAAACTACATCCTAAATGGATTGTGTGACGCGTTATACGATGTATATCGCAAGATTGGCACAGCGAAAGCGCTGTGGGAAGCTTTGGATCATAAATACCGAAGTGAGGATGCCGGCGCAAAGAAATTTGTGGTTGGCCGATTCCTTGACTTCAAAATGGTTGATTCCAAAACCGTGCTAAGTCAGGTTGAAGATTTACAACTAATCTTTGATGAAATCCGTGACGAAGGCATGACGTTGAGTGAAGCCTTCCTAGTGGGACCTGTTATCCACTTGCTGCCTCCATGGTGGAAGGACTTCAAGAATTACCTTAAGCATAAGCGAAAGGAAATGAACCTGGAGGACCTGATCCAGCGACTCCGAATTGAGGAGGGGAACAGGACGAATGATGGCAGAAATTCTGTCACTGTTGGCGCTAAAGCCAATGTTGTGGAGCATGCTAAAAACTCCAAAAAGAACAAGAAGGACAAGCAAAAGCTAGGACCGAAAGGAGGCATTACCAAGAAGAAATTTCATGGAAAATGCTTCAATTATGGCAAGACTGGCCACAAGTCCTCTGAGTGCAAAGTTCCAAAGAAGAAGAACAAGAGTTCTGAAGCCAACATGGTTGAGGAAAGCAATCAGAAGGAGGTTGAGATTAGCCTTTCGGCTATGGTGACCGAGGTGAACCTCGTGGACTCGAACCCACGAGAGTGGTTCATTGACACTGGTGCAACAAGGCACTTGTGTTGCAACCGAGAAATGTTCAACACCTTTGAGACCGTTGAGGGCGAGAAGGTTTGGATGGGAAACTCTGCTCAGTCTGCTGTGGAAGGCGTGGGCAAGGTGGTTCTGAAGATGACTTCCGGGAAGGAACTGACGTTGAACAACGTGCTGTATGTTCCAGAGCTGAGGAAGAATCTGGTGTCTGGCTCACTGTTGAACAAGCATGGCTTTCGCATGGTGTTCGAGTCAGACAAGGTTGTTTTGTCTAAGTTAGGAATGTTTGTAGGCAAAGGTTATGTAACTGATGGGCTTTTTAAGCTCAATGTAATGCCTATTATCATGAATAAGAGCAAAGTTAATTCCGTTTACTTGCTTGAGTCTTCCAATTTGTGGCATGGTAGACTAGGTCACGTTAATTATAATTCTATACGTAGATTAATTAACATGGACCATATTCCTAATTTTCAAATTAACACAAATAACAAATGTGAAATTTGTGTTGAGGCAAAATTAACGAAAGTACCTTTCAAATCGGTTGAAGGGGAAACTGAACCACTAGAATTAATCCATAGTGATTTGTGCGATTTTAGATCGATACAAACGAGAGGTGGTAATAAATATTTTATCACGTTTATCGACGATAGCACACGTTATTGCTATGTGTATTTGCTTAAAAGCAAAGACGAAGCCTTGGAAAAATTCATTCTTTATAAGAATGAAGTTGAAAACCAACTTAATTGTAAGATTAAGAAAGTTAAAAGTGATCGAGGTGGTGAGTACGAAGCACCTATTGGTGACTTCTGTGCGAGTGTAGGTATAATACACGAGCGTACTGCACCTTACTCACCTCAATCGAACGGTGTTGCCGAACGAATGAATCGTACATTGAAAGATATGATGAATGCGATGCTTATAAGTTCGGGCCTACCTCAAGACGCGTGGGGTGAGGCTATTTTGACAAGTAATTACCTTTTAAATAAGGTACCCCACAAGAAGCTCGATAAGACTCCTTATGAGCTGTGGAACGATAGGAAACCTTCCTACCAGTACCTGAAAGTGTGGGGGTGTCTTGCCAAAGTTTTGGTGCCAACACCTAAGAAAGTAAAGATAGGTCCTAAGACGTTGGACTGTATCTTTATTGGGTATGCACATAATAGTAGTGCTTATCGGTTCTTAGTACACGAGTCCAATAATCCGGATGTACACGAGAACACGATAATAGAATCAAGGAATGCATATTTTTTCGAAAATATATTTCCTTGTAGGTCCAACGAGGGACCAAGTACGTCAAAACGAACGTTTGACGAAACTATGGATAATGATAGTGGGGAATCCGAGAGAGAACCCAAGCTCGAGCCGAGACGCAGTAAGCGGGCGAGAGTTGGAAAATCATTCGGTCCTGATTTTCTAACTTATTTGTTAGAGTACGATTCGGGTACTCTAACTTGTTTATTAGAAAATGAACCCGATTTTCTATCTTGTTTGATAGAGAACGAGCCTCGAACGTATGTAGAAGCCGTGACTTCTACGGAAGGACCAATGTGGAAAGAGGCTATAAAAAGTGAAGTGGATTCTATTCTACAGAATCACACTTGGGAACTGGTTGATCTTCCTCCGGGTAGTAAACCCTTAGGATCCAAGTGGGTCTTTAAAAGGAAGATGAAACCGGACGGTTCCATCGAGAAGTATAAAGCTAGGCTTGTAATCAAGGGTTACAGGCAACGCGAGGGCCTCGATTACTTCGACACGTATTCTCCCGTGACGAGAATAAACTCCATAAGGATGATACTTGCCATAGCTGCACTGCGGAACTTGGAAGTCCATCAAATGAATGTGAAAACCGCTTTCCTAAATGGCGAATTAGATGAGGAAATCTATATGGAACAACCCGAAGGGTTCGTGGTTCCGGGCCAAGAGAGGAAAGTGTGTAAGTTGGTTAAATCGCTCTATGGTTTAAAACAAGCGCCTAAGCAGTGGCACGAGAAGTTTGACCATGCGATGTTAACGAACGGGTTTAAAATAAACGAAAGTGACAAATGCGTCTACGTTAAGGAAACGATAGACGGCTACGTCATCCTTTGTTT